AAATGTGGAAAACAAGTGGTCCTAAAACCCTCATAGTGAAAAAAGTACCTTGAATGGGCTCGATTAGATTACTTAATATACGTTTTATTTCTTTAATGCTGTTAAGAGGGTAATCAATATTGGATATACCATTTTTGGGGCACTTTGCTCTAGGCACTGAGTTAAGAACTTTATCTGTACATGCTCATTTCATTTCTACATTTGAAATATCTAAGAAGTAGTATCTCTGCTCTGGTGATGAGTGACCAAGGACTCCCAAGAGGTGTGTTTAAGCTTCTTGGAGCAAGTAGCAAGTGGTCTGTGATACAGAATCAGTTAAGTCCAGCCCTAGAGTCCTGCTGTTGGTGACAAGTCAGTAGCTTTTGCTGCCTTTTGGTCGCATCTACTTACGCCCCTCTCAGAATACTCAGAAAAGGTACAATGTGGGAGCTGCCATATGATGTATCAGATGATGATTCAAAGACTATTTTAAGGCAGAGGTCCTTAAATAATATGCTTCTGCTACCTTTAAAATAAGTTTCTATTTAATTTGAAGGGTCTTATTCATGTTAAAAATCACTTTAATAGGTAAGTATCCTATGTAGATACATATTATGTTTCCAAGTTCTTTTAGGCACCTTATTGTGATCAGGCAACAGACAATGAGTTTCTTCTTTTTTTTTTATATAAATTAATTTTTATTGGTGTTCAATTTACCAACATACAGAATAACACCCAGTGCTCATCCCGTCAAGTGTCCCCCTCCATGCCCGTCACCCATTCACCCCCACCCCCCGCCCTCCTCCCCTTCCACCACCCCTAGTTCATTTCCCAGAGTTAGAAGTCTTTATGTTCTGTGTCCCTTTCTGATATCTCCCACACATTTCTTCTCCCAGACAATGAGTTTCTACCATGGACCATTCCCATTACTGCTCCCACTGAATTGGAGCTCAAGCAAGCAAGACTATGTTTTATTCTTGAGCATTGTTGGATTGCTTTAGATACACTATCTTTAATCCTCGCAATGGCTCTTGTGCTGGGCATTATTACAGAGCAGGAAATGGAGGCACAGAGAGGTTAAGGCACATCAAAGCCAAATGACTAGTAAATGACAGATCCAGAATCACTCACCCAAGCCATTGTGCTCCTTTATTTTTTTTTTAAAGATTTTATTTATTTATTCATGAGAGACACAGAGAGAGGCAGAGACACAGACAGAGGGAGAAGCAGGCCCCATGCAGGGACTCGATCTCGGGTCTCTAAGATCACACCCTGGGCTGAAGGTGGCGCTAAACCGCTGAGCCACCAGAGCTGCCCACATTGTGCTCCTTTAAATGCAGGAGGAGGAGCACAAATTTTGTCTCAAATCCTGATGTGTCTCAGCCTCAGATGTGAACTTGTCTGGCTCCCCACCCCCCTGCCCCCAACCATCCTTTTAGAAAGATGCCCTGGGACTGAGGAGGGGGTAAGGAGAGTGGATGGCACTGTGTGGCTTGTATGTTTGTCTGAGTTATGCCCTGGAGACACAAATACTTAAGTATCATGATAACTCATTTCTGAGATTGGATAGAGATTCTTGTCCTTTTGTGTACTTTCTAGGGACATTGTTTTTGGGAGAGAGGGAGCCTCTAGGAGATGGAGGAGGATTAATTAGATTTGTACTTTACATCCAATGCACCTGTAAAGGGATTTGTATGTCTACAAGGGATTATAGCTTTTTAACCAGGTTTATAATTATGGTATTAGGAGGATTCATGCATTATATGGAACTTCTCAACCTTTAAAAATAGGGCAATGAGAAGAATAAATTTGTTTGCTGAAGATAAATTGAACATAATGGTTCCATAATGGGAAGACATTACTGTATTTTATAGTCTAAATAGAAAAGAAGGCTTTTCATAGATAAACTAATCCAATAAAAATAAATCAATGATATGGTTAAAACATTATAGTGGAGCATAGTTTAACCATAGATATGGCCCATCTGGACAAGCATGTCCCATTTGTTTTTATTCTTATTCAAATATTCTTTTCATCAGTTCTCTTATTAGGAATGAATCTGCCTGTCTCTTGAAATAGTTTTTTGCCTTTGTTATACTAGCTTTGAGTCTGTTGCTTCAGTTACTTCAGCTGTAGGTCATAAACATTACATGACATTGTGTGTGATAAATCATCATTCATGTGATTACAGGGTTTACTCTTCTGTTTTCAAATGGAATGGGATGATTGAAAAGATAAAAAATAAAAAGCAGCACTGTATTATGTGGAACTAGTTTGGTCACAAGAAACCAACTGAATTGAGTTGCGACCTTAAAGCTGGTGTGTGTGTGCGCGCGGGGCGGGGGGGGGGGGAGCATTTATAATAAAGATGCAGGTGTGTCTTAGAACACAAATGCAAGGTCAAAATGGCTCTAGGAAATGAACAGGAGCTGGAGATGAAGAAGGGAACTCTCATCAGTGTTCATTACAAGCACATTTGTGATACAAATGTCAGTAAGATGAGAGGAAAGCTGGCAAAAGGGAAGTAGAAACTGTAATACTTGAGCATGGGATTAGAATACAGCTCCATTCTTTGGAAAAATCATGCTCTTTATAAGAAATTGAACAGTATAAGAAGTCAAAATCTTTTAAAATTCTGATAATCAGGGGTGATCATAATTATTTTGATAAACATCCCTCTGAGTCTTAGGACATCTGGGAAAACACACACACAAATGAAATCATACTGTGCATGGTCCTTTACCTATTTTATTCTTGTGGCATCTTATCAGTAAGTACAAATCTCCATCAGTATTTCCAGTGTCTGTATTGTTTATTTCACGTCTCAATTTGTGAACTTTGAGGGCACTGATTCATTTTCCCCTCATAATTACAAATACTATGAAAAAAAATTACAAATACTATGTATGTCCATTTTTCTGCTTACACAATTAACTATGTAGGGTAAATTCTTAGAGTTATTAGCATTGCTGTATCAAAGAATGTGTCATTTTACATGTAGACAAAGTAACATAAGTGGTATGCTACATCATGAGCTACATCTGAAATATTGGTTATTGTCAGTCTTTGACATCTTTATCAGTCTGATAGGTTAAAAAAATCTCCATTTTCTAAAGGTGTTCTTTAAGTTGTATTTTTTGTTAGTGTAGTTGATTATCTTTTCATATGTTTATTGCTATTATAATTCTTAAATTTGTTTTTTAAAGATTTTATTTATTTATTCATGAGAGACACACAGAGAGAAGCAGAGACACAGGCAAAGGGAGAAGCAGGCTCCTTGCAGGGAGCCCGATGTGGGACTCGATCCCGGGTCTCCAGGATCACGCCCTGGGCCAAAGGCAGGTGCTCAACCGCTGAGCCACCCAGGGATCCCCTGCTATTAAAATTCTTATGGAAGTTTTATTGACTGTCCGTCTCAAGGAGAGTATTTTCTTACTGCTTGATTTTTTTTGGCTAAATAAGGATAATAACCTTTATGTCTGCTGTACAAATATTTTACCTAATTTCTTATTTCACCTTTTATTGGAGCTGTCACCTTTTGTTCTTTTATTTTTGACTTAATTTTGCCATTCATAAATTTGAGATTTTTTTTTCATAATTTGGAGATTTTAAAAAGGTAGCCAAAGGGACACCTGGGTGGCTCAGTGGTTGAGCATCTGCCTGTGGCTCAGGGTGTGATCCTGGAGTCCCGGGATTGAGTCCCACATTGGGCTCTTTGCATGGAGCCTGTTTCTCCTCTCTCTGCCTGTGTCTCTTTCTGTGTCTCTCATGAATAAATAAATAAAATCTTTAAAAAAAAAAAAAGGTAGCCAAATGTCTCAGTCCTTCATGGTTTCAGAGTTTTGTTTTGTTTTTAAGATTGTATTTATTTGAGATAGAGAGTGAGAAGAGAGCACAAGAAGGGGGCAGAGGGAGAGAGGGAAGCAGACTGCCCACTGAGCAGGGAGCCCAACGTGGGGGCTTGATCCCAGGACCCTGGGATCATGACCCGAGCTGAAGGCAGAAGCTCAACTGACTGAGCCACCCAGGTGCCCCATGGTTTCAGTTTTTGATGTCCAGTTCATTTTTTATTTATTCTTTAAAAGATTTTATTTTTAAGCAATTTCTATGCCCAATGTGGGGCTTGAACAACCCCAAGATTAAGAATCATGAAACTTTACCGACTAAACCAGCATGTTTAGAAAGCCTTTTTCTGTGTATTATAAAATTAATGGTATATTCTTTTAGTACTCATCTGATTCTATTCTGAGTTTATTTTTTCATAGGTAGAGATCTAGATTTTTCCTTCCTCATTAGCTAAACATTTATGAACCGGTCTCACACACTTACCCAGACAGAGGATTCCATGTCCTTGGTCTATTCATGTGAATACTTGGTTCTATATATGGGTATTCTGTTTCATGGATATGTATGTTGTCACTGAGATATCTGTTAACTGTGGCTGAGACATTTTTGCGGTTGATGGTGGTGCTTCTGTTTTAAATTGGGTTTCCAAGTGCTAATAATAATGGTCAGTTGTGAATGGCTCAGAGAACTGGGAATGAGATGAGATCAGTTGAAGCAAGAAGGGGCTGCTTCGCAGACACATTAGAGGAACTAAGTAGGAAAAGGGTGAATGAGATAAGAAGAGCTCATATAAGCTAATTTATAAAGACTGAGAGTGCCTTGTTTTTGTTTTAAACACTGGGGGGTGGGGGCAAGTGGGTGGGGAAATGTATCTTTGTTTAAATTCTAAGCCATTAAGCATTTCTACCACAGGGAAGGGAAAAAATGTGTTGCCTCTTTGCCAAAAGTAACATAATTTTGGTCTTTGAAATAACTGTCTTGGGACCTCAATTCCCTGTTGGTAAAGAGAATTCCCAGCCCATGTGTTGTAGCGGAAATTCATTGTTTCCTGAGTTACTTCCTTTCATGCTTAGTATGGAGGGAAATGGCCAAATGTATAGATGAACATTTTTTATTCTCCTAAAACTGACATCTATAACATTACTTGATCCTGATAATTTTTATTATTGTTTTAGGTATTGCTGCTGAAGGCTTCTCAGATGCTTTAGGATATCTTCAGGGAAATCAACTCTTTAAGTGAACTGAGAATTCAGGTGAGTCCTTGAAAAAAATGTATCTTAGCAATTAGCCACTCCCTGCATTGATAAAATGTAAGTGTTGAAACATTGTCACTTATACTGTCTCATCTGACATATTCTGAGGCAGGCATGTAGCCACCTAGTCTTGCCACTTACATTGCTACTTATTTTTTCCACCTAGTCATTGGGTGGGTGAATACAGGGGCCAGCAAGACAGGATGAGAAGCTGTCTTTTAGCCTTACTGCATAAATTCATATTTAGTCACACTATTTTATTTATAAACTTTTCATTTTTGAGGTGTTGGATAAGGAATTAATGTAGAAAATTTTAGTAGTCTTTGCCTCGTGAAACTGCTTGGTGGTTCTTGGAGACCTCCATGGATGGCACACAATTGCTCTACCATGAGATAAACTTTGGTTTATAGGTTTGGGTTTCTCCCTTTGATTGTCCTGGGTGGGGCTGCATGATGCCAAGTAGCGTGTGTGACGTACTGTCGGCAGGGAACAGAGGTGATCTTCTGCAGGTCCTTAGTATGCCTGGATTGACATTTGACAGGTTAAGGGTTGGTTTATGCCGCTATACTCAACAACTCTATTGTGGCTCACCAGGCTTCCCATTTCTGTTCCTGACCAGCTGCACAACTGGGGACAGGTTGATCTTTGCCAATTTTGTACAGTCATCTGTGAAACGTATGCTGACCCAACCTACTCGTTTCCTTTTAGATTTTATAAAACAGGAAAAAAATGTCACGATCAATTTTTAATACATAATTTTGGCTATGTGTATGCAAAGTTGATGATTACTCAAGCTGGATGAGTGCATGAAACTTCACTATATTTATATCCTATTCTTTCTATTTTGTGTTTAGAATTTTTCATAATTAAAGATTTAAAAAAATAACTATCATCTAACATTTCATGAAAGAAGTATTTTAATACTGGAAGAGTAGGAATGTCATAAATTTAGATTACACGTTTTTAGCATTATGAAAATGCTCTTCCTTTGCCACCTCTTTCTCATTTCTCTGCTGACCAGGGACTGTTGGCCATGAACTAGCCAGACTGGCCTGATGACTGACATTTGGGACAGATTGGCATGTATGACTGACTGCTAAGGGTTCCTCTGCCTCTGAAATTGTATCATTCCTTTGCAGCAGGATAGAAATGTACTCTGGTTATACATCAGCTATCTCTAGAAAATGCTGACAACTAGTCTAGTTGAAATGAGAGGTCAGAGGTCGAACAGATGAGAAGGAATTGTTCTGTTGGGAAACCCCCCAAAAAGTGGCTTATTTACGTGAACAGGAGATTGAACTGTGAGCCACCTTGTAGCCAATGTAGAAATAAACATGATAGTGTTTTAAGATGTTGAGTAAAAGGGTATAGAATCCTCCCTTCACACCAGTATGGGCAGTCTCTGGCCAGGTGGTATTTTTTTTTTTTTTTAGGTGGTATCTAATAGATAAGCATGCACCTGCGATGTGAAGACACTGGGAGCTAAGGATGGGGTGGGTGGATGCCTGACTCCAGGGAGGCCCGTGTAAACATTGTGTGTGAGGAGCATAGAGCTGGGTGGGAGTGGAGGGGTATGGCTGAAAGTTCTGAGCTGAGAGCAAGGGGATGACATGTACACAGGGTAGGGAAGAGGAAGGGATCTGTCTGGCCCAGGAACCATTTGGTTGTCTTGGTGTGCCTATTATCCTATGAGGAATTACAGGGGGCACTAGGTGGTCCTGTTTGACTAAAGGGCCTGGGCACAGTGGGCAGGAAGCATTTCAGATCCAAAAACAGTGTGCCAAGTGCATTCTTATGCCATGGGTCCATACAGAATGGGAAACTATACTTTGCACTTATATCTCCATGGGGTGTAGGGATGTGTATGGGGGCAGCACGGGTGGAAGACTGAATTACTAGGACAGGAAAATAATGTGGGGAAGGAGCAACAATAACGCCTATGTCAAGAGGCCCACATAATCCTGGCTGCTTTGGAAAGTTCTGTGAAATTATACTGTGGCTTACATTGTTTGGAACACGGTGGTTCAGTCCTTTGGAATTGCTCCTCCAGTGATTTCTGGCTTTCCTTTAACGTTCCTATTTTCTGAAAACTTGAATGAAATTTGACAGACTTACCTTGTATTCCCTTCTGTCAACCCCACTTTCGGTTTACTGCTTGATTTGTATGGTTTAATTGGGTTGCTTCCTGGGGATATTTACTTCACTGCCCTTTTTAGGAAAAAATTAAAACAACAACAAAAGAAACATTTGTCTTATATGTATAATAATATGAAAAATTACGTGAAATCTTGACACTTCTGCAAGTGTCTACAGTCAATGAATAAATGCAAGCAGGATCTTTTATTTTGATATAAGCCAGAGAGAAGAGAATTGCTTTAAGGGACACGAGCCTGGCTGAGTCTAAATACAACTTAATGAATCAAAAATACAATCAATCAATCATGTTCTGAGTATTTCAGAAGGCCAGGCACTGCTGGTTGAGATCTTGTAGGAATGAACAATTAAGAATTGTTTCATAGGAATAAACATGTGCTTTTTTAGAGGGTTGTTTGCACAAGAGAGAAGAGATTGATAAAGTATAGAGAAAGAGGGACATATATGATAAATGAGTTGTTGAATGTGTTACTTAATGACTTGTGATATATTCCGGATTTAAGAATAAGTATAATACTCTGAATTTACCTCCATTTTCCCTTCAGGCTTGTAAGAAAAATATTTAAAAACTATTTTTAAATGAAAAACATTGTCTTTTACTCTCTGAGAATTTTGAATTCCCAGTGCTGTTTTAGGGGGATGGCCTTGAATCTATAAAATTCAAAGCAGGATCTATCTATATAGCTATTTGTCATTCTGTATCAGTTCCTTAAAAGCTATGACATAAGGGAAGGTGCGTTCTTATGCTTATTTTTCTTCATTAAAAATGTAATCTGTTAGGCACTTGTGTCTTCCTGCCATCCTCCATTAGCCAGATTCTCTGCTTGTTTTTTTTTTATATATATTAAAACAGCATTTATTTGTTAATGTAACATAGGAAATTAAAGCAAGTTACACTACCTTTAAAAACACAGCTAATGCGTTTTAAGAGAAACCCATCCCTCCCACCCCCCAGCCCCACATGAATTAAGAATCTAAGAGAAGGAATAACCATAAAACAAAGTGTTGTGGAATCCTTCATTCAAGAATGCATAATGATTAGGTTAATATTGCCTTCTTGCAAAATTTCTCTTTTCTATTAAAATGTTTTTGTAGCCTTGACTGTTTATTACAAAAAAATTTCAGTACAAAAGTTGGTGCTATGAGGGGATTACTCTGCTTGTTGATGGAAGGTACAGGCACTTGCTCTCCCCCCATGGGGCCCCTGAGTGGCTGGGAGTCCTAATTAGCATCATCCTAATTAGCATCACATCCTTGATCAGGATTCCCTGACATGTACTAGGCTCCTCATTCTACTGTCTGTGCTTAGTAAATGTTTCAGAACAACAACAATTTCCAGATTGTTTTTCATAATTAAACTTAGGAATACATGGGTATAATAGAATGAGCTGTTTCCTTACACTTTTTGGCTAATTATGCTCATCAGTTAATTTCTTTCAAAGTTAGCCCTGTGGAGAGCTCAAGATTTGAGCCCTTTCTCAGAATTGATTGGATTTCATGGACTTAAGGGCTCTGGAATATTTGTGTCTGTATTTAAATACTCTCCTATAGAACACAAACCTTTAAAAATTCCGTATTTTTGCTGCAACGTCTCATATTCTGAAGACCTATAATGATCATCAAAGCTGCTGTTTACAACAAATTAGAATTAGACAGCTTTCAAGAACCATAAAATGACTAGTTGACTTGCAGAGTTTACACATGACTTTAAAACAAAGCAAGCACACTGTAAGGCCAGCTGCCATGGTCTGAACACAGCATAGTAAGGCCTGGTATGAACAGAGAAAAACCCTACTGCTGTGATCTAAGTAATAGTCTTAGGATCTTTCATTTAAAACAATGTAAGTGGGCAGCCCGGGTGGCTCAGTGGTTTAGCGCCGCCTTCAGCCCAGGACCTGATCCTGGAGTCCTGGGATCGAGTCCCACGTCAGGCTCCCTGCATGGAGCCTGCTTCTCCCTCTGCCTGTGTCTCTGCCTCTCTCTCTCTCTCTCTCTCTCATTCTGTGTCTCTCATGAATAAATAAATCTTTTTAAAAAAAAAAAAACAATGTAAGTCAAAGTAATGCATGCAAAGAGTTAAAAAATAGAAAATACTACAGAACAGCTCCAAATGAAAAGCAGCAAGGGTTTTACCCCACCTCTTCCTTCATTTAGTCTTTCTTTTCAGAGGCAACCACCTCCTCCCTTAGATCATTTTCACCTTTGTGACTTGCACATGTATGAATATTAGGCTTGCAGTGCCATTTCCCATGTTATCAGTTTTAAGAGCTGTTTATGGTGTCTTGTTGTGATTGCTGATGAGCTCACCCTGACCGGCCCGTTTCCCTTCCTCCCTGTAGCCGATTCACATTTTCAGTCCTAAAGCTGCTGCTTCTCTGCACCTCAGTTGGCCTCCTTCGTTGTTGTTCTGTCTCTTACATAGGCTGTTTCTTGTTTACCCCCCACACCTCTCAAAGGCAGCTGTACCTTTGATTTTCTTATTTTTTTTAAAGATCCATTTACTTGCTTTAGAGGGAGAGAGAGCATGCAAGCAAAAGGGAGGGGCAGAGGGAGAGTGAGAGAGAGGGGCAGAAATGCAGACTCTGTGCTGAGTGTAGAGCCTGAAGTGGGGCTCCATCCCACCACCTCCATCGTGACCTGAGCAGACACCAAGAGACTGAGGCTTAACCTGACTGAACCACCCAGGCTCCCATGTACCTTTTGATTTTCTAATGCTCAGGGTTGGTAATACTTAGTATTCTGTTGTTAAGTGAGGGCTTCTGTAATTTACCTATGACTTGATTCTGAATGTGAAATTCAAGAAGCAGCATTTATGCTCTTGCAATCAGGGTAGTGCTGTTGCCGTC